AATATTTTGTGTATCTAAATATAATAAAATTTTAAGTATATTCTATAAAGTAAACACTTTCAATAGATATTTTAGAGACATCGAATCATGCTAAAGAATAAATATTAAAACTAGGTTAATTCGCTAGTGAGTTTAATAACACCTCTTGTGGTAGTTAAAAATAAATGCAAAATTTTCTTAATGTCTTAATGTTCTCAGTTCCATTATTCAGTTTCTATAATATTTATTTTTAACTACTTGGCACCGTTGGCTATATATAGTAAGTTTACTTGGCTATAATAATTATTTTTCTGACACTAACGTACAATGGTCTTTATTTACATAGATTGAAGTATTCGTTTAATGTGTGTATAAGATATTTATGTACTCACTTCATTGAAAGTTTCTACCGATATTCTTATAGAGAAAGACTACTACTATTATAAAAAAAATATGAAAGCTTAAACGACAACAGTCGACTTCTGTACACTTCTTAACCTATGTCCGTAATATTCTTGTAAAACTTGACAGGATTTATTGAGCATGGGACTTTGACATACACTCAATATGTTCCATAGAATAATAATAATAATAATATATAGAAATATAGTTTAATTTCTGTTTGAACTATGTATAATTATTGTTGTCGTCTATTTTTTAAGGTCTTAATTAATTAATAAAATTAATAGTTAAACTACTAAAAGTCTTTACAGATGAATTGATAGGAATCAGATCGCACACGACGCGCTCTTGTTAATTATATTTAATGCACGCACTGATGGTAAATTGTTAAATTGTTGAAAAAAACTTTTTATATTACCGGTAATATTAATAACATTTACGCAATTTGCAAAATATCTTATACTGTAAATAAATTCAGTAATCTACTACTACATAAATTTTTTCTTTATGAAAATTTCATTAAGTTTGTTTTAACGTACGGAACATTTTCAGCTAAGATAAGTATCAAATTATATGTACAAAATGTTCACAAGTCGGTTCATATGCTCATAAGTTTCAAGGCGATAAAATCGTTAATTTCATTTAATATTCTTCCTTAGCATCCTAAGAAACAAGGAATTAGGGAATACAATTGTCTTGATAAAGGCAGTTACGGACATCAGTTTGTGAGCTTTATTTTATGAGTAGCTCGATAAATATTAGGAATAGAGATTGCTTAGATGATATCTCAAAAATAAGATTAAGTAAGAAATTATCTCAATGTGGCCTATAACGCATTAGGAAATCATGACCACATAGTACACTCTACCATTCTACCTTCATTCTTTTTTTAATACATAAGTACATATTAAAATCGTATTGTAACAAATATTACTAATCAGATTTTTTTACTAAACATATTTTATAACTGTAATTATCTTCGCTCATAGTTCTGGGAAGTAATTTATTTACAATGGCTTATTTTATTTTTTGTTATTCAATTTACTTCGCTATTGTTTAAAAAATATGTAACTATAAACATATTTATCTAACTATTTATTATTTTTTATAAACATTCTTATTTATATTTAGGTCGTACTGTTTCTCAATATTTTATTCAATTAATCATATCAACTATTCAAAAATAATTGTCATATTCAATTACCTAGTACATACATACGTAAAAAGTTGCTAAATTGTACTTTTTACTTGGCAGCTGTAGAACCCTTTTCATTTCATTGACTATCATTTTGTATATATCGTAGGATAAAATGTATTCAACATTTCAGTTAAAAGTATAGATTATTTGTATGTTCTATTACGGCGTTAACATTTTTCAATTGGCGATTTCCAGTCCGTACTGGTTCATATAATGAGATCTTAGGCTTTCGCGACTATTCATTTAAATGAAATTAATAAAAAAAATCGATTACTTATTTCATGCGTTTGGGTTTGGGGTCATTATGATGATGCATTCACTTAATGAAATCTAAAAAACTTTCATTAGTATTACGGGTTTGCATGGATTAATAAAAACTAATATTTTTGGATTTACCACGCAATTTCGATTATTTTAACTACATACTCCCGACGTTTCCGTTACTTTGCAGCAACCGTGATCACGGGAATACGAGATGAAAATGACAACAAGATTTTAATTAATGCGACTTTACAAAAACTAAGAAGTAAAAAAGTCTTTAATGTTATATAAAACGCGTTTGTTATATTAATTGATTTTGTTCCAGATATTAGCCTCTATAAGCTAGTTTTTTTGAAATTTCGTTTCAAGTTTCTAATACATATTATAGTTTAGTTAATAAAATCAGTGATGGCCTAGTGGTTAAAAGGCCCCGTCTGACATGCATGAGGGCGCGGGTTCGATCCTGGCAAGTACCAATGTGATTTTTCCGAGTCATATGTACTGTAACGCCTCGCATTGCCTTCGGGATCGTTTTATATGTATAATTTAAACGGCTTTACAATTTATTACTTTATTTTTATTTTTAATCATTAACATCTTCTATATTATATCCGATCCATACTACATATCTAATGCGATGGCAAGCCCTATTCACTCCAAACTCAACGTCATTCTCTCTAATTCTTTTTAATTCGTTTTTATTTTAATTTATTTGAATTCAATTTCTTTTTTGTCGCCTGCCAGCGCCACCATGTGATATGTAGTAACGCTTAAAGTCTCCATATACTACTCTTAAAGTACTTTCTAAGAGTATTTAGACATCACTGATTAATTCCCAAAGAGGGTTGATGTCAGGCAGGCGGCTGGTCGTAAAAACAATTAGCCAAAACCATTAACAAAAATGTAAGGCCGACCCTGGCTAAAGCTGGGAAGTTGCCAGGTAGAAGAAGAGTTATGTTAATAAAATAAAAGCAAATAAGTAAAAAATTAACTGAAAGTTAATTCTGTGAGTAAATGATTATACAATTTTAAAACTATTCAACTTTTATAACATTTCACTAGAACTACAATGACTTTGTATAATATTTATACAGTGTTATCTTCACATATGTATTACCGATAGGTTGTATATTAATAAATAGATATTTTGTTATATAATGATACTTATAATTCGTCAAAAATTGGTAGCACATAATTTTTACTTCTCTAATAATTATATTCTAAAGATGTATCGAGTTTGTTTATTCATGGTAGGTTAAATGACACTAATATGAGAAAGTTGTTCTGGCGTGTGTTATTCTAAATCACGTTAAAAGTTTCTTAGCATATTTTTGTAATGTTCAAAAAAATCGTATTTTGTTATATATCTTAAAATATTTGTACGTTTATATTTTTTCCAGTTATAGGATATATTGGAGTTTTATTTTTAAAGATACAATAGTCTATTTAGTGAGAAAATGATTATTTCTATATTTACCACGGCTTCGGGTTAGCACGTATTGTTATTGTTGTTGATGCACGTATAGCATCTGAGTGTTAATTAATTTTTCCAGTAACAATTTGTAATTTTAAATACTATTTCAAAAAAGCTTGCATAATTTTCCTAGAGCTCTTAATAAACAGTTTAAATAATTTATCGGTTGGATAGTTTTACGATAAAATACGCACACTTTACTTTGAACGAAGTTTAAAACTGTACAATTGTCATTCAGGTATGTTATACAATAATCTTTTCAATAAATAATTGAAGTCAAGATTGATTATTATGAAAGAAATAAAGTTCTTCACACTATTCCTATTTTGAAAAAATATAATGATTGGTAATAGAGAAAACAGTGAGAAAATATAGCAAAACAAAAATTCAATCTAAATATATTTTACTATTCATATATATAGTCAGTGGTGGCCTAGTGGTTAAAGGGTCCGCCTCTCGTTGCAGAGGGCGCGGGTTCAAACCTGGCAAGTACCAATGTGATTTTTCGGAGTCACATGTACTTTCTGAGAGCAATTAGACACCACTGACATACGGTGAAGGAAAACATCGTGAGGAAACCTGGACTTATAGTTTCACAATTATAAGTTTGAAATCACCAACCCGTCTTGAGCAAGCGTGGTGATTAATGCTCAAACCTTCTCCATATGAGAAAGAGGCCTTGCTCATCAGTGGGCGTTGATAGGCTGATGACGATTCATATATCTCAGTAAATACACAAGAAATAAAATTTAATATATGCATATTATAACAACATTAATGTTGTAATTTTGTAAATATGGGTCGTTCTAAGATCAAAGATAACTAACATTTCTTTTTATTGAGCATTAAATGGTTCAGCGAGTAGTCTAGTAACTTTATAGTTTGAAAACCGTCTGTTCTCACGATCTTTACGACTAGGAAGTTCCTCTAAAGAAATTTTAAAATAATATTATTATAAATTTATAAAAACGTACAAAGATTCTTCAAGTGTACAGAAAATTTTTCCTATATTAATTGGGATTCCGAAACAATATTTAATGCAAAATTTATTGCTTATACTTAGTACTTTGCTTTATCGATATTTGAGGACGTGATATTTGACGATCATATATGACAAAATAAAAATTAATATAACATAAATATTAATTGAATTCTAAGTAAAGTTAACCAAAAGTTATGTAATTAATTACGCATCGTATGAACACCCTACAGATTAGGTATACACACACACACACACACTAGAGCGCGGCGGCGTGTTGTTGTATCAGCACGCCGCCGCACGCGTCCACACTTGGAACACTTGGAACGTGTACACACTTTATTCATTTATACGGAAATTTGGTCAAAAATTAAGTACCTATTTATTTTACATAATTTGAATGAGAATCATGTACCGAGTATGCTCCTTAAATATTGATAGTAATTCACCAGTCACCCTGTATATAGTATTTGTTAAAAAATTTCGTCATTAAGAGATAACAAGTTATTTTGACATTAACTTTTAATCTCTAGTGTTTTTTAATAACAGTTATGAAAAGTAACGACAGAAAACCTTTTTCAATATGAGACGAAACTACTAAGCATTCCATGGATTCACCGTGCGGGTGCCGGGTCCATCGCAATGCAGGGAGAGGAGCTTCAACAGTGCCTGGGACTTGCGACCCAAGTGTAGGTTTAAGGGGCCCCTTAACTAACGCGCGTTATACGCTCACCTCCACTGTCCAAGCTCCTCTCCCTACCTAACCAAATTTGAAAAGAACCTACTAGGGCTGCCTTCGATATACGTTCCAAGAATGCATTAATGTGAGTTCTGGACAAGCCCAAGTCCTTTAGTAGGTTGTAGAGAGATTTCGCTGTTATACCTCTCGCTCCCACCTCTACCGCGTACAAATCTACTACGAACCTATTTCGAGTGAGTTCGTTTGTGAGCTCGTAATATTTGTTGACCTTGATGGTATGGTCTTTGGGGATGTTGGTTTCCCAAGGGACCGTAAGCTCTATCATCACTACGCGCTTTAAAATTCGCGAAAACAAAAATATATCCGGTCTGGAGGCCGACACACAAATATCCTCGGGGATTTTATATTGCTTTTCATACGTGTCCATCATTATAGTCCAATCCGACGCCGCTTTAAGGATGGAGTAAGGCTTGACGTTTGATTTTGTAGCCCTAGTGCCTTCTCTCACAAAACCTACTGATCGTTCGTTTGTGGTTATTTCCTTTTGCGCTCTGGCTACCGAAAGACTAACCGCTTCACATACGACTTCTAGAACCCTATCGTGACGACGCGAGTATTGACCGCTGTCCAGGAGTACCCTACATCCTACCAGCAGATGCTTAGCAGTTCCAACTGCCTTTCCACAGATATAGAAAGTTTTTTCGGTACTTTTACCCCATCTTACTAAATTACTCTGATCTGGGAGAGTCACCTGGAACGCATTGAGATAGAATTTTAGCAATGCTGGCGACCAATCATAAATTAAAGAGCGCCATTTTAATGCTAATGGGATGCAAAAATCTCCTATGTCTAACCACTCGTTCTGCATTTCTAAATTCATTGCATGGATCTTATATTTATCATTCTCGTCTTGCCGAATAAAAGACTTCAATATATCCGCATCTTGGACTTTCCTATTTGATCCTAACCCCGCTCTGTTACTTTGTGCTTCTATCATAAATTGCTTATGGAATTGAAGTCGTGACTCTAGCTCGGGGGCATCTTCATCTTTTGGGAGCGATGTCACTATGTCATCATGGGATTTCCCCAGGATATATCTCTTGGAAACTCTTAGGTGTTTATAGAGCTCCGATGGCCTTTTTAGACTCATCCCAAAACTATTGCTTCCCCTAAATAACGCCGATGAATCAGCCGTTAGGGCGAGCCCGAGCCACAACTTCAACATCTTCAACTTTGACAAAAGGGTTTTATTAAAATCATAGACGAGGAAAGGCCAATTCAAACGTGAAGTTAAGTAATTCTCGTAGATCCACGCTTTTTTGACGTTACTTATCAGTTGGCTTCTATCTTCTATTATTATTCTATTCTTCTATCTACCTTGTTAAGATCGTTCAAAAAGCTATCTACTATTCCTTCTAAAGATGGAGTACGGCCTATATTATCAATCTTACGACCGAGAAATTTAAATGGTGCATTTTCCGTAACCGTAGAAATGTATTGACCGCCTAACGATAGTCCCGGATCGTATGAGGTGTATCTTGTATTCCGCCTACCAAGACACAGACAATGACATTTACTGGGTTTTGTCCTCAATCCATCCGTCCACTCACAGAATTTATCCACTTCATCCAATAGTACTTGACAGTGTTTGGGGTTACGTGTCAGTATTGCGAGATCGTCAGCGAAGGCTAAAATGGATTCCGTGTATTTATTATTAAACTTAAACCGATAACCCCATTTTTTCTCGTTACAGATTAATTTGTCTACTAAAATGTTAATAACGATATTAAACGTAATTGGAGATAGACAACAACCTTGAAACAGTCCTACATTATAACTCAAACTTTTTGAAGGGCCTTCTTTAGTTATTATAGAAAACCTTAATTTTGAGTAATACGACGCGATCATATCTCTAACTAGGGGTGGAAAGTTGTACCATCTAAGCGCGAATAGCATCAATTCGTGTTGTATCGACCCGAACGCGTTCTCTAAGTCTATCCAACAAACAGTGATTTGCCGCTCGCTTCTTCTAGCATCTTTCAAACTCTCCGACAGCAAGGTGTTGTGTTCTAGGCATCCAGAAATCCCGGGTAAAAACCCTTTCTGGTGATTTGGCCTAAAATAGTTGTTGCTGAGCATGAATCGCGTCATTCTCGTTTGTAGAACCGAGAAATAGATTTTCGATATAGTATTTGTTAAAGCTATCGGTCTAGTATCTTTCGGATCAGTAACTATATCTTTTTTGGGAATGAGGACAAAAATTGCTTTCCCGAAGCACTCCGGGATTTGCTTCCCTGACCAGATTTTACCGTATATATTTAGGAGGTGTTTACGAACCGATGGACATTTTTTAAAGACTATATATGGGATACCATCGGGTCCCGGTGCAGATTTAGACGACGTCCTCTTGATCTGACTACTTAGTTCCTCTAGCGTTGGTGGAATGCCGTGGAATTCGATTCGAGGAAATGCAGGTTTTTGATCGTTTGGATCCCTATACCGTCTTAAACTTTTAGGCACTTCGTATGTGCTCTTGAAATGGTCGTAAATTTGATCGTTGGTCAAGAGAAGCTGTCCGCGTTCTTTCTTAAAAATTATTATTATTATCATTTATTGTCTCCGTATTTTTTATAAGTACAATATTTAGTTTAGTACAATATTTTTCATAAGTAATAATTCAAACACATAAAAATAGTAGTCCATGGAAACGTAGACTACAAGCTTTAGCTTGTAATCTTTACAATTAACAGTAGTTATCCTTACCTGGTGCGCACGCCTGGTATATGTTGGAGTTGTACTCGAGGCTGGCGCTGTTGCCTACTCGTGTGCCGCGACTCCGCTAGTAGCCCGGCTCCTTGAAGTACGGCCCCGGCACCAGGATGAGCGACTGGATGGACACCAGCACCTGCAGGACACACATTAGAGACTTATCTCTAGTTCAAATGCTGAGTTTTGACGCAAAAAAATCTTATTGTAATTAGTGATAAGTAGGTATTTGATAAAATAAACGGAAACATTCATCCAAATATAAGCATTAAATTTGAAGTATGGTTTAGATAGTTTGAAAAGTTTCTGTGTATTTGTCTAAAACCACAGAATGAATTTTGAACTCAGAATATTACTCTATTTCAAACTTCTCCCAGTTTAAGATAACATATGCTTTTTAGTTCATGTGATATCTGAGCCTTTATACTCGTATTACGAATATATGTTTAAACATAGTTTAAAATTATAATCTGGCAAAAATTAGAAGACTCAAAGATAAAATTCCGAAGACAAACACTCACATTTAATTAATTTCCCTGTAAACATTATCAATGTTTATAAAACCTATTGAAACAAAGATCTACAATATAATCATGGAATTTATTTATCTTGAGGTTACTTAAGTATATAATAATGATATATATTTACTTATGCCCTATATTGCTTACATATTAATTATAGAGCAATATATAATCAATTTACGTATTATGATAGATGTTGAATGAAAGGTATTGAAAATAGAAATTTTTAAAGTGACTATTGTTAGTATCTTACCGATAAGACAAACAATCGATATATAATACATACAACTGTATATATTGTATACAGTTATACAATATATACAGTTGTATACATACATAACTATGTATATACAGAAACATTCTCATAAAATTCATATTAATGGCAAAGTAAAGTATGTATTTTTAGACTATTATTTATTTTTAAGTATTATCGTTACTGTTTTAATATCACTTCAATAAAATAAGGTTGTATATACATATAACTAATAAATTAAATTAATCTTTAAAAGAAATGCGATATTCAATTTTTTATATAATCGCTATAACTGCACAAAATAATTTTAATAACCTTAGAAGTTTACAATACATGTATCAAATATATAAAAATATTAGAGCTTTAAAGCGTTATAGAAATTACAGTAAATCAATTACGCAAAATATGTACATTAGCACCCGAATGTCTCTTTACTCCATATTAGTACGTTTATGTATATGAAAATGTAATTTTTAAAATTTTTAATCAATTTAGAACCATATGTAAAGTAAAAAAATAAAGTTTATAAATATAATATAACAATACTATTATATTTCAATATTTAAAATTAAAACGTTGTTTTTATATGGCAATATTTAAAATAACTATTAACTTAATAAAATTATTTAATGAACCTATTTATTCCGGGTAAGGCTCGTGACAATTTGGGTCATTTTATATAACCAATATATTTTAGTGAATCTATAAACTAGTTTAAATTAAACTATTTATTGCTTACGAAAATGTATATATATTGTACATACATATATTTGGATACTGTCTTCTATAATAATATTAATTTGAAGCAATATTATTTCAAAACGTGTTCAATAACTACTATTATTCATATTATAAACTATATCAGTTTACACACAAAACACAAGAATCCTTTAACTGATTACATACTAAGAGAGTTGGCTTGCCTTAGGCTACAAATTAATGTATTGTTAAGATCTCTCTGACAAGTAATGTAATATGAACATTTGATTAATTTAGTTTCAATAATTAAGTCTTCCAAGTCAGTCACAGTTATGTTTACGTCCATATTAGCATGTCCTCTTCATTATTTACAAAGAATATAAGTAATCACAATTATCTGATTCTATTAGATGTTTGTGACCAATGGCGGCTGGTGGGTAATAGAACTGGTGGTGCACTTTACTAAAATATTAAAATTGAAAAATCCAACAAAACATAACGAAATGTCAAAAACGGCTCAATTCGTCATACATCGGGTGCTCTCGGTAAACTCCGGCCGCTCGTGCGGCGCTCGAGAACCGACTCATTACTCGGTACATTTCTATGAACTATCTTTTGTTTCACGCGTCAGGCGTATTAATGCGTATCTCATACAAGATGTATTGGCAGTCCTCGTGCACTCACCGAAGCGCACGATATGAGTTTAGTAAAGCGCTCAAACTTTTTGACCATAATTAGGGAATTTAATTTTTTATCCGTTTTTATATGTGTAAAAAATAAATATTAAAATGGTAATTTAAAAAAAAAGATGAAGTAATATTTTGTAATTTTTAAATCTTTTGAATTGGTGGTTCAGCGCACGAGTGCACTTAAGGTACAGCCGCCACTGTTTGTGACATTGATCGAAATAGACGAAATCTATTGGCTTGCTGTTAAAATAAATTATCTTTGAAGTATTGTATTCGATTTTTTTTGTATATTATTAATATTTAGCCAAAACAAATAAAGAACACTACCAATAGAAGATAGATTGTTGTTATTTATAAATTTGGAATCGGAACTCTTTTATATATTACAACTAGTAAACCCGGCGAACTCCGTTTCGCCACCAGAAGGCTTTTATATATCATTTCGTTTGTTGATTAAAAGATGAATATTTTTTTTTGTTTTTTACTTGAAAAGGAAAATTTTTATTTCATTTCACAACAGTAATGAATTCATTTCGATTACAAAAATGAAGTGTTATTTAGTTGAACTTCTCTAATTAAATGAGAGTGAATCCAAAGTAAGTAAAGTAGATACCGAATCGAAGCGTTATACGTGTCCGCAAATTATCCGTTTCATTGAAGTGCTCCTTTGTAAACCACATTTTTTGTTTTTTGGTCTAACTTTAACACAAATAAAGCGTATGGTTTCCAAACTCGTGAACACGCAAAATATGTATAACTGCCCATGTGAAAAACAATGATTTTCTAAATTTATCCCGCAAATACTAAATGGTTTTAAGAGTTCAAACTACAAACACAATACCGGTTTGTCACAATGAGTAGCTGTCAAACAATGTATCATGCGACGACACCATCTACTTAAAATATTGATTTGTAGTACATGTTATATATGATGGCGCTGTATGTGACAAAAATGTTCCCCCTTTTCTTGTATCTTTCGTTCTGAAGTTATAGCGTCAGGATGGAAAACAGGACTTATTTTTTTATAGTAGATTTCTTACAAATATCAAATTGTTTTCCATACGTCATTACATATCTGTCATTATACGTCAATTGTGTTTCGTTATTCCACGTTTTATAGTGACTGACGTTTCATGTCAAGTCCCTAAGGATGGCTGTCGAACGGGATAAAAAGTATCCTATTGCAATTTCCTGGTTCTAAACTACCTCCCTGCCAATTTTCAGCTAAATCGGTTCAGCCGTTCTTGGGTTATAAGTGGAGTAACTAACACGACTTTCTTTTATATATATCGATTATTTAATATTCATATATGAACATATGTAACTCTGGTGTACAAGATATTTGTTATTGCTATATTATAGAAAACATGCCAAGAATAATAAACTTTTACCATAGGCTCTTTAAATTAAAATAAATTTAATTTAAAATTCACATATTTAGCAAGTTGTTTTTAGAAACTTATCTACCATCGTAAAAAACGCTTTTAAAAATATTTTTAATATATATTTGTTGATATGAACTTTGCTTAGTTGTAGAGAGAATGATAAAATCAGCTAATATTTTTAGACAATGCTAGAATAAATTAGTCTTCATATGATATTAGGTACTTTGCTAATGCTTATCAAGTCAACCGAAAAATTGTTTGACCTCTCTTTAGATATGAATTACCCCATTTTTTTAATTTTATATAATTTTATATTATCTTATGTATTTTACTATGTAATAAACAACACTTTGGATTGGAAAATGATAACAAATTCGAAGCAGCAGACTCACGAAAACTGTAGCATCATCATTAAGTCGCTTTAAGTACAATAAAAACAAAAAATTGAAAAGTATTAATATACAGGGTCTTTATGAAAACTAAAGACTTTCAGTGTATTACGTTTATGATTACAAAAGAACAATGATCACAAAGATTTTACAGATCATGGTTTATGAATATTCTGAAGTGACAAAGTTTTATTTATTTGTGATGATGATAAAGTGTTCTTAATATGTATTCATTTGCACATTTATTTTACTAACATGTGTAATTGGCGGCCGTAAATATGAAATATTATTTAATGGGTGACTATTTAAGAACTAGTAAACAAAAATGTAAAGAAAAGAAAAAAAAAACATTGTTAAAGTATGGGATTATGTTTCTATATTAAGACTGGTTACATTCACGTACAAAATTACTGTAAAGATTTTGAGAAAATGTACTTAAACTTAAAACAACACAATCTATCGCAATACACATAAAACCCTATCTAAGTGGTGTTAAACAGAAAAGATTTCTGCTAGAGTTACCAACTATATAGCTTATACCAATTTCAGTAGGTATTGATAAATTTTGAATGTTTTAAGACTTTAGAAAATTTAGTGATCTGTTTTCTTAAAATATTAACTTTTAGTGAATATTTTTAATGTGTCTTTTCTGAACATTTTCCTTATTCCACATTTACTTAGTTTTTATAAATGTATATGGGGCCGTTCAAGTATTACGTAAACAGATTTATTACAATTATTTACCCCCCCCCCACCCCCTTGTCAGAAAAAAATAAGCAAACCCCCTCCCCCATGCTTACGTAAATATTTTCAATTACTTTATTTTTTTTTAATATAAGTCCAGAAAAAAATATAATTGTATTTTTTATGGATCTACTCGATGTGACGATTAAAAATTAATAACTACA